GGCATCAAGGTAGGACAGGTATTGAATGTAACATCAAGGTAGGACACAAGTGTTGAATGTGGCATCAAGGTAGGACACAAGTGTTGAATGTGGCATCAAGGTAGGACACAAGTGTTGAATGTAACATCAAGGTAGGACACAAGTGTTGAATGTAACATCAAGGTAGGACACAAATGTTGAATGTGGCATCAAGGTAGGACAGGTATTGAATGTAACATCAAGGTAGGACACAAGTGTTGAATGTGGCATCAAGGTAGGACACAAGTGTTGAATGTGACATCAAGGTAGGACAGGTATTGAATGTAACATTGAAGGACACATATTAGTGAATGTTCTATAATGTGGCTGTCTAATCCTTTAGGCCCCAGTGACCGGGATGAGCTTTGTACATCATGTGGTCTTGTCCAGCTTTACTGTCCGGGTCATATAGGCCACATCAGTCTTCCTCTTCCTGTGTTCAATCCGGTGTTTTTTAGGTCAATGTATCAGGTATGTAGATCTGTGGTAGTAGTAATTATGAGAATCTTGTATCTTAGGTTGGTGAAATACTTACTGTAGTAGTGATAACAATTAAAAATTGTGTCTCTGTCTTCCTCATTTATATATATATATAAGTTTGGAGCAACTAAAAGCATGATGTAGCAGGGTTCTAAACCCAATCTCCTGGGTCATATATGCACAATACTTTGTTGGCATGCATGAGATTTGACCCCCAAGGTACTAGATACGCACTGCAAGATGCCCCATACACAAGGCAAGCACAAGTATTTTGCTTCGAACTTTGTACTATAACAAACTAACATACATTTTGCTGTCTATAATGAACTTCCGACAGGTTTCATCAATGACAATAAATTGCATGAAAATAAAGCCACATGAAAGTAACATGATTAACTCCTAACCTCGGGTAGGTCAAAGTGTGCGTGTCACAACCGTTCACAGAGTTAATTAAATTTTGAATGTAATTAAACTACTTTATTTTTAATCTGTATGAATAAACTCAGGATCAGAACGTAGATAATAAATCAAAGTATAGTATTATTTAAGTTCTTATTTTTATAAGGAAATATTTAGACAATAACATCCAATAAAGGAAGTATTGATTTTTTGGAAAACATAACACCTTAATTTTTCCTTTTTTGAGGTGGGGGGGGGAGATAATGGGTTTTAATTAATGATGTTTTGTTATTTTACTTTTGATACCCCTTCCATTGAATTGTTGAATAGATCTTGGTAATTAGTGGTTTTTGCTAATTGAATAATAAACAGGCTCATTAATTGGTTAGTACACCACACTCCTAAAATCTATACAAGCAAAAAAAGGGGGGGGATTTACTAACATCTTGATTTTGTATCTGCTGCATTCTTTTCTTTTCCAGTGATTTGAATTTTTTAAGTAAGTTTTTTAATAACTTGATTTCATATGATAGACCTTATCTGAAAGTTGTCATTTTCACATCTGTGTAAATGTCAACTAATTACCACCAAGAAATTACCATGTTTGTGTTTCAGTAATCGAATACTGAGTTTTTATAAATCAAACAATTTATAATTAAATAATGAAAACAAGTTTTACTCTCACAATAAGGGTAATGCCTATTTAAAACATGTCATGACTATGGTTACATATAATTAATTAGCTAGTTTATGGATGTTGTTTGAATAGGATAAACATAAAAATGATATACATTAAAGATTTGAGTCATATTTTGTAGTTACTATCATGCTCACTGATCAGTAAATTTACTTGATTTGATCACTATTTTATTTTCGATGAAGAGAAACCCACTTTGAGACTAATAATGGTAGGAGATGGCTTGAATGGGTAATGAAGAAAAACTTTAATATACGTTTAACATAACAGAAAATGTACAATGTTTCGACAAGGTTCTGTCAAAAAGCTCTACAGCAACTAATAGACTAATAAAATAAAAAGACCGACATCTGTTTTTTTCTTTTTGTTATTATTTGTTGTTTTTTAATTACTTTCTAAAAAAATGGATGGGTTTTGGATCCCCTAAAATCTTTGCGTATTTATACAACGTTTAATAATAGTAGTTATTCATTTCTTTGCCTACTTATACAACGTTTAATAATAATAGTTATTCATTTTTTAAAAATATACTCGGAATGGATGGATTGGGGGTTTTAACCTCTCTTTTGTACAACAATAAATAATATAGTTATTAATTTCTGAAAGAAATATATATCTAGGGTCCGACCTTTTGGACCCCTCCTATTTATACAACATTAAATGATATAGTTATTAATTTCTGAAAGAAATATATCTGGGGGTTCGACCTTTTGGACCCCTCCTATTTATACAACATTAAAGAATACAGTTATTAATTTCTGAAAGAAATATATCTGGGGGTTCAACCTTTTGGAACCCTCCTATTTATACAACATTAAAGAATACAGTTATACAATTATAAGTTAGGAACATAACACAGTGAAAAAAAATAGTAAAAATTTACACTTGGTTTAACAGTTTAGTTGAGAGAGAGAAATGGCAATGGGTGCTACCAGTCAGTTGCAATTTCTGTAGTTAGCAGTTCAAAATTAGTGACAGTGACAGATAGTGCAATAACAAAGACAAGATGAGTAAATTCAGTGTCAATGGCAATTGAACCTTCAAATCATGAAGCATCCTCCATTATGTAGGCTTAACGAACATAATGGAAATATTGTGAATACTTGGAATGATAAAACAGTAAATAATTGAAAACCCCAATTTTAATTAGTTGATTATTTTTGTGATAATTGATTTGATATTAATTTGATTAATCAATTCTTGGAATAATGGAAAACTGCAATAATTGGGAACACTAATTTTGATTATTTTTATGAAATTAATTGAGTAATCGTAATTTTGGTTAATCTGCGAGTTTACGGGATATAAGTTGAGGTAATTGCTGCTCGTAGGTAATCAGTTAAGTTGTCCCTGCTATGGGACGTAAGTTGAGGTAATTGCTGCTCGTAGGTAATCAGTTAAGTTGTCCATGCTATGGGACGTAAGTTGAGGTAATTGCTGCTCGTAGGTAATCAGTTAAGTTGTCCCTGCTATTGGACGTAAGTTGAGGTAATTGCTGCTCGTAGGTAATCAGTTAAGTTGTCCCTGCTATTGGGACGTAAGTTGAGGTAATTGCTGCTCGTAGGTAATCAGTTAAGTTGTCCCTGCTATGGGACGTAAGTTGAGGTAATTGCTGCTCGTAGGTAATCAGTTAAGTTGTCCCTGCTATGGGACGTAAGTTGAGGTAATTGCTGCTCGTAGGTAATCAGTTAAGTTGCCCCTGCTGTGTTGTTGAAAAATTAAAAACAGGAGAGCGATGTTTAAGTATGTTACAGTTGATGTCCTTTTCATTGAATTTCATGTTTTTGTTTTCTAGCTCATCCGAGGAAGCTGTTTCAGCTGCCACTCTTTGCTGTCACCGTCGTTTGCGATTCATCTGATTCTAGCCCAGCTGAAAGTGTTGGACTATGGCCTTGTGGGTGTAGTGCAAGAACTAGAAGAGGTTGCACTGGAAACAGTTTCTCAGGGTGCTGGTGCTGGGTCTGGTGCAATTGAAATTCAAGTGAAGAATAAGATGACAGAAATAATTAACAAGAAACTTGAAGGTAATAATTTTTTTATACTTAGTTGTACAGAGATGATGTACCATTATTGTTTTATTATGACAAAATAGATTGTCATATTTCTATAAATTCCATGTTCTTATTTATTATCTTTATGTCTTCTTGTAATATTTTAAGTTTTCTGCCTTATTTTTTAGTTATGTTGAGGATTAGTCTAACATAGTATTTCCCAACTGGTGGTTTGTGAACTTTTAGGGGGTTTGAGAGATAATTCTGAGGGGTTCTGGTGAAAAATTTGGAAATGACATTTTTTTCACTTTCCTAGTTCTATAATTCTTACCAATATTTTGATTTGCTTATAATTTATATAAATATTTATTGAAGAAAATAGCTTGATGCAGAGCCAGATTTAAGACTATCTTTCTTCTGTTCAGCCGAACTTTAAAGCACCACGTTTTTCAAAACAACCTCAGTTTTAGTTAAATGGTTTTGTTTTCCATTTTTTTAATGATGGTTCAACAATTATATTTCAGTTTTACTGGGTACAAAATGATGACGATATCAGAGATTCAGATTTTATCGTAAACATGTTATATACTGTGTTACAGAAACGTTTTATTTTCAATAATTTTTAACATATTCAAAAGTTATTTTACAAAATTTATTAAAAGGTGGTTGCTGAAAACATTATTACGAATCAAGGGATTCAAGAAGAGAAAAAGGTTGGGAACTGCTGGTTTAATGTAACATATTATAACTGACTTTTCAAGCCTGGTGGTAGGCAACATTGATGTGTCTTAAAAGAACACAACCTGGTTGCTGCATTTGGTGTAAAACCTGTTGGCACAAGTGTGAGAGAAAAAAAAATAGTACTTACAATTTGATGTTATAGATTAATAAAGATCTTATTAATTATTAAATAATGTTCACTGCAAAGGGCTCGATTTGGAAGATGCAAAACTGAGTGCACAGGTGAAGAATGTGGTGGAGTGTCGACAAAGGATTATAAAAACTTTTTCGAGAGAGTATTTAATGGGAGCAGGGAGAAAGTGTTCATCATGTGGAGTCTCACGCAAGGGAATGAGTATCCATAACAACAGTAGAATAATTTTCACTGCAAATTCTAGGAAACCAGTCAAAATTAAGCCTAAAAAACCACCGGCATTTCTGAAGTAAGTAATTATTTCTTTAATTTTTGTGATGTGAATATACACCAGGACCCACAAATATTACGATAAAACATTTTTATTTTCTGTATAGTTAGAGATATTTGTGTGATAAATTTAGTAAGTATACACAGTCACTCTGTATATATAGTGTTCTTACATTACAGTAAGAAAAAACATTTCAATCAATACATAAATTTGGATCTTTGCAAAGTTGTTGATTTAGAAAAAGCCAAACTAGCTCAGTGGTGAACTGTAGTGGAATATTAACAACGAATTGTTAAAAACTTTACAAAGATTATATGGTAGGAGCAGAGAGAATATGTTGATAAATAATACTTCTAAAGTTGGTTAAAGTTTTAATGATCTTTATACAGTACCTAAGTAAATATACCTGATTTTGGTCCACATTTGGCCAGTCAGACTTGCTATGGTTTCATCTGATTTATTTCAGTATCTTTCTTTTTACAAGACATAGTTGATATGTTTTTTTATAAAAACTTCACTAATTTTAAGGAATTAATAACAGCATGTATATTTTTATCAACCATCAGTTGCTCATGTATGGTTTGATGTTGATCAGTTGCTCATGTATGGTTTGATGTCGATCAGTTGCTCATGTATGGTTTGATGTTGATATAGGGCTCCGGAAACGTATGATGAGTACGAAGATTTTGAAAAAGAAGATCAGAATGAGCAGCAGCAGCATCAAGAACAAGAAGATAAATTCATTGGACAGAACTATTTGACTCCTCTCGAGGCACGGAAACATTTGCGAGAACTGTGGAAGAAGGAGCAGGCCGTTCTACAACGACTCTTTGGCTTACTTGCGACAGCTAGCAAATATCATGAGTCTCCCGTGGACATATTTTTCTTGGATGCCGTTATTGTTCCTCCGTCACGTTTTCGACCGGTAAGTATTGTTTTAAAGAATTTCAGAATATTCTCCAGTCTTTGGTTACTTTTTAACAGTGAATGTCATAATAGTCAAAAATATAGAATCAATTACAATGGTGAACTGGTAATGAATGGTAGAAAAACAAAGTCAGTAATTGGGTATGTTAGACTTTTACTGAATAATATAAAAAGCTAGTTCTTGTCTGTGAAAGTTTTCTCTAACTTTGTTTTATTACAATAAACTTCTACTTCTATAGTTGTTGTAAGTAAAATTAATTTAAATTTTATCGTGATCTATATTTTTCAACTTTGCCTTGTGGAGTCAGCTCTACTCATTATTTGTCTACGTGGTCCTAATTTTGAACGAGCACATATGAATACTTGTAACTTTGTTTAAGTATTCATTATAGGTATCCATGAAGCTGTTCTGTTTTTAATAATCCCTAATTAGATACAACCCTTAATTAATAATCCCTAATTAGATATAATCCTTAATTAATAATTCCTAATTATATACAATCTTTAATTAATAATCCCTAATTAGATATAATCCTTAATTAATAATCCCTTACTAGATACAACCCTCAATTAGTATTCCCTAATTAGATAATATCCTTAGTTAGCTATCCCTAGTCAGATATAACCCTTCATTAGCAATCTCTAATTAAATACAATCCTTAACTAATAATCCCTAATTAGATACAGTCCTTAATTAATAATCCCTAGTCAGATATAACCCTTCATTACCAATCTCTAATTAAATACAATCCTTAACTAATAATCCCTAATTAAATACAATCCTTAACTAATAATCCCTAATTAGATAC